TAAGAGGCAACCAGGTCGGCAGGGAGGGCAGTTAGGGGCAATTAGGCTGGCAGGGGAGGCAGTGAGGGGCAACTAGGCCAGCAGGGGGAGCAGTTGGGGACAACCAGGCCAACATGGGGAGGGGGCAGTTGGGAGCAACCAGGCCGGCAGGGGGGGGCAGTTAGGGGCAATCAGGCTGGCACGCAGAGGCAGTTAGGGGCAACCAAGCAGGCAAGTAGGTAGGTGAGCAATTAGGAGCGAGTGGTCCAGGATTGTGAGAGGGATGTCCGACTGCTGGGGATCGGGCCTAAACTGGCAGTTGGACATCCCCCAAGGGGTCCCAGATTAGAGGGGGTTCAGGTTAGGCTGAGGGGACGCCCCCCACCCCCATGCATGAATTTTGTGCACCAGGCCTCTAGTGTAAAATAAAATTCAGATTATCAGAAAATGTACTAAATGTTACATACAAAAAAAATAACATTTTAAAGGGAGATGTTTCCAGAACAGTAGCATTATAAAGAACCTGCTGTGTACTGAAGCCAGTTTTTGATGGTCTGCAGATATCTCAGCCCCACCTGCATCACCTCCTTGCACTGTCAGCTGTCTCAGGCTTCCTTGCAGAGAGGGCTGGGCTCCTCGTGCTGCACGGGGACTGCCTGCAGCAACTTGGCACCAGACCTGGTCTGACTAGACTCACAGAGGCCTGGCACCTTCCACTGCTTCCAGACTCAAATGAAGGGCTGCTCCATAGGTGGCAAAATCTGGCTTCCCTGCAGCTGCCCAAAAGGCTGAGCAGCAGAACACAGTAGGCCAGGGGTACACACTGACCACTGAAAGACAAGAGATACGAAGGGAAAAAAAACAAACAAATTATTCCCCTTTCCTCCCTCCAACAGACTGTTCTGAAATGAGTGTTTCCATATGGCTTATCCAGAGACATCCTAGTGACACTGCTGTGTTTACAACTCAGTGATGTGCACTTTGTGTTTGCTCTCCCATCTTCTCTGCCTGGCTTCATTTCCCCCCTCACTTTGCTGCGCTAGGATTGTACTCCTGGTACAGCATTGGCTCCTCGGCTTTGCCTCAGGCTCTGTTGTCTAGGAAACACAGGCTAAAATAGTATTAAACTAACTGAGGGAACTTTTTGATCCTTTCCCCAAAGGAATGTCATTGTAATTAGCTAGTTATTAATAATGGAAAATGACAAAAGGGGAGGCCAAACATTATAGGCATATCACTTGGGCAGCTTCAACAGGAAGCTGCAATATCACACTCCCCAGGGAACCACCAGCCCATTCCCCCAAGATCCCTGGGGGAAGGGCCCAACCAAGGGGAGATGAACGCATGCGCAGTGAGTCAGAATGACTAGGGAAAGTGCCAGTCGGTAAGCCTGGGGAACCATGGATTGGCTAAAGTAGGCAGGGCCACAGCAGGCCGGCCAAAATTTGGGGAACACATAATCCCCCAAACAAAGGAGTTGGCTCTCTTGTTCTGCTTCCTTGCATTTGCCCATGTTCCCCCCATAGCCATGTGGCCCTGCGAACCCCATCTGAATTGGACGGATGGACTGCAGCTGGAAACAAAAACTGAGCTAGCCTGATGCTGTACTGGACTGCTCCAGCATGGAGTGGGAGCTCTGGACACTGGCTCTGATGTTAGCCCTGTTAAAGGCAAAATGGAACTTCTTCCTTGGGG